TAAAGCTCTGATTATTCTTTGTAGAGATCTAGTATAGTCCCGTATGAATGGGTACTTGAGGGCACAGATTGTAAAGTGCTTTGAGTATCTTGACAAGATAGAAAGATGCTATATAAGTACAGTTCATTTACCATTTATGAAATGGGTAATGTGACGAAACAAGTCGCTGCGCTTCATTGGAGGGTTTCTGGGGAATTTGATTTAACTGGTCATACGTATATGGATGAGGTCATCCCAGAAGGCTGGGTCGGCTTGGGGACGGATGAGAAATTTCCAGTGGGTATGTAATAACAAAAATACGCCATCTCCTATCATCCAGGGTGTTGTCCGCCAGTTGCAGCACAGGTGTCCTTGTTCTAAAATTACACACAACTTTTACGCACTTCAAATATGTCATTATCTGCACCCTATCGACCTGAGGAATCGGCACACTGTAATTGTTCTGAATTAGTTTGCTGATCCGACAGTTTTCTTCTCGGTGAGAATAGCTTTTTACCTCGTTTCATAATGTAGCTTGACTTTATTATGTTTTATATCACTACTTTTATTTTATATGCATTTTATGGCTGTTTATTGTTGTCTTTGTCTAAAACAGGTCTCTCATGAAAATGAGTCCTTGTGACTCAGTGAGACTAACCTGCATAAGTAAAGGTTGAATAAATAAAGGTTGAATGAAATAGAGTTTCACTTTGGCAGTAAAGGGTGTTTATGCACCTTGCAGGCGTGTGGTCACTCATGCGTGTTTACATGTACACGTGACAATATAAAATAAACAATACAGTTTCCATTGGACTGAGGTTGCTTTCACCAGTTTTGAGGTGTTATATGTCGAGTTGTTTCAGGTTAAATCAGTTTCCTCATTCAGATTCACTCATGAAAATACATCATGTTTAAATACACCAGAAATATGTATACCAGAAAACCAATTTAAGCCATTTTTGATGCATAAATGTGTTTCAGTACTTTTTAGTTTGATACTGTAGACTGAAAGTTTGTGTGCCAGTAAGTACACACTTTCAAATAACATTCAGTTTGATACATCCCAACGTGTGTAGAACCTGTTGCATGCAACCTTTTACTTACTCACTGTTCATACATGTTCATACCACTGGTCCCTCTTGTAAATGAGTCCCCGTGGCTCAATGAGACTAGCTTGTATAAATAAAGGTTGAATGAATACATGAGATCCTGGTCGTCTCTGGACCAGTCCAACTACAAGCAGATGATTATTGCCAGTAGATCTGAGGGATCTGGAGGGCACATAAGGCTGCAGGAGATCAAACGGGTATGCAGTACATGAGCCTGTCCATTCAGGGCCTTTATAGGTCAACAATAAAATGTTAAAATTAATAAATAAAAATAAAAAAAACAGGGATCCAGTGAAGGGAAACGAGTATCGGGGAGATGTTCATGCCTTTTTGTTCAAGTTCGAAAATGTGCTGTTGCATTCTGGACCAGCTTCAGTTGTGAGAGGCCGGCCTGGCTAATAGTGAGGGTTAAAGTAGTCCAGTTGGAAGGTGAAAGAAGTGTGAATCACCCGTTCAGAGCCCCAAAATGAAAAACTGTGTTTTAAGCCGCTTGTCAAGGTTAAAATTTCAATCAAATTCCTCCCAAAATTTAACATGAGATTTTACAAATGGCTCCAGGCTACCTTGATCTGCAGGAAATGTGGTGGTTTCAATTGGGACCACAAATAACCCGTTATCTTTTTTTAAATTTAATTATTTTGAAGCCATCTAAGCTTTTACCTCAGTGAGGCAGAAAAATGGTAGGTTTAATGAAAAGGACAGACTAATTACACTTCAACGGAGTGTTGTCTATGTGGGAATTAAGAGGTGTTGAATTTTCAAAAGATGGAGCCTAAGGGGAGCATTTAGATCATATATGTCAATCTCAAGGCCCGGGGGCCAAATGTGGCCCTGATTGACATCTGGCCCCCAAGATGATGTGTGAAACGTAAAATACTTCTATCTCTTGAATTTTTTTCAGTAATCTTTGATTATCATATTGAAAGCACAACAGAGAACATCAAATGAGACCAATCAAACTCTTGTTGAGGAACCTGTGACCAAGAAAAGATGCTGGGTATCTGATTTAATTTGGGTTAATGTAGATTCTGAAATTGGCCCTTAGTTTGAAAAAAGGTTTTAATTTTGTCCCCCTTTTGTGTGAGTTTGACACCCCTGATTTAGATGGGCACATATTCTTGTTGTATCTCGGTACAATGATAATAAAGCTTATTCTGATTCTGACAAATAAAATGGGACCAACAATAGATCCTTGTGGAACTCCACATGTTTAAGTTACATTAGTCCTCAAACAATCTTTACATTAGAAGCATAAAAATTCTAATGAAATTAATTCAAATCTTGCATTTTTATTTCTAATACAATTTTAACGCATCTGCTAGGACAATGCAATCCAGGTTTTCAGGCACTTTGTGTCTTATAGCAAATCTGATTTTGGGGCAGGACAATCCGGCCAATATTCACAGTTTTTAAACTAAAGCTGATCAATAATGATCTGGACACAAAAAGTTGAGCAGAATAGCCCTTTACTGACCTGCCTGGTTTGAAGCTGAAATCTGATGCAAACTTCAGCATCAAGAAAAACACCAAGAGCTTTAATAAAATGCTGTCTGGTAATCAGGTATCAGCCACTCCCTCAGTCATTGTTGATCTAGAAGGTAAATTGATACAGATGAGTCATTCTCAGAGATACACACGATTTCGCTCAGGTTGGCATGAACTAAATGGAAAGGTAAAGGCTCAGGTTGATACACTGATGGACAAACTTGAAAAACAACTTCCTGATAATGCCACAAGATGAAAGACAAGTGCGGTGAAATTAATAGAACAAAGGTTAATATTTTTATAGTTTCTGTGTAACGGACAATTGTTTATCTTCGTCACTGATGTGTCTCATTTATGTCTTGTGTTCATGAGAGGCTGAAGGAAGAGTGAAAATGTTGTGGTCGTTATCTGTGCACGAACTGAGAAAGTCTGAGATCTCCTGTTTGTAGTTCATCAAAACTTCTTTGCTAAAAGACATTATTAGCACCTCACAGAAATGTTGCTGCAGGTCAGATCTGCTCCTGTTTCTCATCTTTGTCCAACATATCAATCCAAAACAAAACTACAGCGTGAACAAGGAGCGGCTTTGTTGAAGCAGCTGAAACTGAGTTGTTAAAGCTAAAGGAAACAGAAAACTAGCGAAACGTTAAATGTAGTTAAAGGCTATCTAAAAGCTAAAAGCAGAAAATGGCTGGCTAAAAGCAACAAAAGGCTAGCGAAAACTGGCAAAAGGCTAAGAGTTACAAGTTAGCTAAAAGCTAAATGTAGAAAATGTAGGCTAGTTAATATTAGTAAGTCTATCAAAATTAGCTAAAGGCTACCTAAACACTAAAGTAGTAAGAAATTAACTAAATGCTTAAAATTTGCTAGCTAAATATAAATACAACAGAAATCTAGCTAAAATGTATAAGTTGCTGGAGGCTAGCTAAAAGGTAAAAATATAAAAGCACCAGCTAGAAACTAAAAGTATCAGATAGGGTTATCTCCTATAACTGCTATATCTGCTATAAGTAGCAAAAGACTAGCTCAAAGCTAAAAGCAGCAACAGGCAAATTAAAATAAGCAAAAGGCTAAACGTAGTAAAAGGCTAGCTAGAATTTCCAAAAAGCTACCAAAACACTAAAGTAGCAAAAAAAAGTAGCTAAATGCTTAAGTAATGAAATTCTAGCAAAATGATAAAAGTAGCAAAAGACTAGCTAAAAGCTTAAAGTTGCAAAAAGATAGCTTAAAGAAAAGAGTACTGTAGCTATACCCTAGCTAAAAGCTAAGCTTTATAAAAGCTAAAATCAAAACACTAGCTTCAAACTAATGGTATCAAACTGGCAGCAAATTCCTAAAATTAGCAAAACACCAACTAAAATTTAAAAGAAGCTGAATGGTAGCTAAAAATAGGAAGAAAAAGGAAGCTTGCTGAAGCTAACTTTTGACGGAACAACGTTTGAAGATATTTTAATGATGTTCTTTGGGGCAAATGTTTGTAAATAAAGTTAAATATTGGGGGGGAAAAAAAAAACTACAATATCCAAAAAGGTCCTACCACCCATCTCCTGAATGAGCTGAAAGTTCTGTTATGTTAATGCCTAAAATTTCATGTAAGAAGTAGCTGGATTGCAAAAAATGCAGATAACAAAACACACCAAAAGGATTACATCATCATTTATACATTAATCCTCATCTGGGTGTGTCCGTCTCTGTCTTTTATCATTTTTGAGTTTGAATGTCTAAAATCGTCCAGCTCACGTTTAGTTTAAGTCGACAGGAAGAGCTGATTACCATGACGACGAACGAGCTCAGCTCGGTTGCGGTGCTGCTGTTTGGACTGAGCTGACCTTGAGGAAGAGAGAGAAACATTTCCTGTCCAGCTGCCTGAAAACAAAAGAAACCGCAGCTCCTCGTCGGGACCAACAAATAAATGTCACAGTCTTCAGATCCACATTTCCCGAATCACCATTTGAGTTTTTGGTCTGAACATTTCACAGCTGAGGGAGACGAACAGAAAACGACACAGATGACCCAGTTTTCCACGCCTCCTGGCGGTGAACTCGTTCTTGTGTGGTTTGCGTTCTGTTTTCTCTCAGACATGTCGTCTCTTGTCGAAACTCCGAACGCATCACTAACAGCAGGAACAGGCTCTTTCTGTCACGCTCTACGTTTAATATCTTTCCTTTAGTCTACAATTTGTAACAAGGTGACAACCTCACTTAGTCATACTATATAACAATTGTACCAAAAGTACCAGTATGTGCACATGGTTACTTTGAGTTTCATTCAGACAAACTGCTGTGAAAAGTAATCAAATGAAAGTTTTGGCAGGAGCATTTATCTTTCCACAGCATGAAACACACTTCCTGTTTGTGAGAAAATTTACTACAAGGTCCTGCAGCTGCAGAACTACAATATGTTTGATTTTTCTCTTCTGCTTTACAGAGACGAAGATGTTCCTGTGCTGGAACACAAAGGTAAGCTCCTCTTCATCGTTGTCCTCATGCATTTCTCTTCTCATTCTTTTTATTATATACGCCCGGCTAAAGGCTGGCTGTCCTACGGTGCAGTCTCCGTCTATCTGTACGACTGTGCACTTTCTCTTGTCTGACCTATTACTTCTGGTCTGCTCAATAAAATTTCATCAAACTTCATATGTACCGGTATAATAATAATGTTAGGCCTGTCGCAATAAATCAATCACATGATAAATGAAAATTATCAACCTCATTTTCATTTATCGACTTTATCGTTTCTTCGTGTTTCTCTCTTTCTACTGAAGACACTGGATGACAAAAGGCTCGACTCTGGTGTTCTTCACTGTCCCCTCCCTTTCTCTTTTATCTTTAAAATCCATTTTAACCGTCCAAAATCATGTTTTTAGATCGTTAAAAGAAGCCAAGCTGAGAAGCTAAGCTACGAGCTAAGCTAACAGGCTGACCTCGGGGGAAAAAAAACCCTTAGTCTTGTCGAAGCTCCAAAATTCACAGCTGAAACCCGTGCCTTTGTGTAAAAAGTTGTTTTTCTCTGCAAAGAGAAGCTGAGAACTAGTTTACTGATTTAAATTATTTTTTTTAATTAAAAGCTTTGTGTGACAAATGTTATGCTAAAGAGCTCAAACCACACAGAGTGTCTGCCATTCTGAGAACTGGAAAAAAAGGAAGGAGAGAGCCCATGTCAAGTCAAGGAGCCTCCCTCCCATTTTTCTTCAAAGAGACACGCTGCTCGCTCCCTCACTATCTATCCTTCGGTTCAAACAGTCTTATACTGCCATCTGGTGGTCAAAAAAGGCACTGCACACAAAAATCAACCAACATTTCTTCTTAATTTTTACAATAATTACCAATTATTGTCAAATTTCAAACAATATTGTCATTTATCGCAATAATTTCTGAGACAATCGCCCAGCAAAATATGTAATTGTGACAGGCCTATAAAATATGTTATTCGCGTGAATCATGTAGCTCTGAAGAGTTTTATTTGGGGGGGTGGCGGTCTGAGGCACGGTAGATGGCATCGTTTCCCTTTAAGAAGCCACGTTCTTCCTCGGTCACTCAGCTTAGCAGGTGCTCATCTCTTAGGGGTTTTTGTTGACGGCGCTGGGGGAGGAGGGGGAGATACGTCCGTGTTGCGTTGTAGCTTACCACTACGTAGTTGTTGACCGGGGAGGGTGGGTGGGGGGTTAGGATGCATGAGAGAAGCAGAGCGCTACGTCTGCCGCATCTTAGCTAGCGTGTCTGTATTGTGCGTCGTTAGCTTAGCGCTACACTAACCTGTGAACAATGTAGCTGTCTGCTACATACACCAAGATTTTGACCTAAGATTTGACAAGTCCAGCTGATGGTGATCTAGAGAATACCTTGAAGGAGAAATATAGTGTTAGAAAGAACACAACAAGTTTTCTGGAAAGTAAAATTGGTAAAATCAGTGATGGGGAAGGAAGAGTGGAAAGTGTAGATGAACAGATGCTCAGATATATTCATCAATTAACACGGATTCCTCATTTTTCTGGACTGAATAAAACGTGCATTGAATTTAAGGAAATGCAAACGTGAGACGTCATTTATATTTGACCCATCAAAATGAATGCGGTCATTTATTTACAGAATCAAAGTTTAACATCAAACATTTACAGTAATTTGGCAAATTATGAAAATAACAACAAAAGCAATCAATCAGGAAAAATCATACGGCCATGATTTTTCCGTTGCTTCACCACAGACATTTATGAAAACTGTACAATTATGATCTTAATCCACACGGCGGTGGATGAGCACTTTACACAGACATTTCTAAATATCTGGAAGAATATCTACTTGAGAGAGGAGTTTAAAGATGGGAAGGAAGTTAAAGGGAGTAAGGATGGTGTTTGAGGGAGAGTGTTGAACAGAACGGCACTCTCCGGGCTTTCTTCAGCTTCTTCCTTACAGTACACTTAGGTGGTGAAATCGACTCTTTTACCTGGAGATGTCTCAGGCGAGATTCCGTTTAGCGCACCCTTCAGCGTCTCCGTAGGATGCTGTTACTCGTCCGGAGTAGCGGCGAGATTCTGTCCGACAAAAGCTCACCTCAGTGGAAAATGTTATAATCCCATGAAACTCGGAAGAGCTCTGTGGTCATGTCAGGGTCTTCCCGGCTCCCACAGCTACTGCCAGCACTAGGACATATCAGAACTGTCCGCGCCGCCGAACTTCTCCAAACCCACAGAACTGGGCTTCTCCGCGCAGAACTGAACTCATCCCAACTCTCACAGAACTGGGCTTCTCCGCGCAGAACTGAACTCATCCCAACTCTCACAGAACTGTGTAGACCAGGAAGTACCGACATTTTAAAGAGCTCTTTTCCCGGTTCATTTGGGAGTCTTCCCATTGGTCAGAACCGACCAGACGGGGTGTGTTTTGTGACGTAAGAGGTTAGAAGACAGCAAGAATTGTTATGGAACAGATCAGAAATGTTCTCAGAGACATAGAGAGTTTTGTTTTGGCGAGTTTTAGAAACAGGTGCCAAACCCCCCCTGTTGACGTCTGAGAGGATGTAAACAAGACAGTTGTTCCATCACATGTCTGCTTCGACTCCTGACCTTGAAAACGTACACTTGCTCATTCGAAGACAGAAGTCAGAAAATGCATAAAAACTGTAACAGACCTTAACATGAATTCTAACTCTGCATAAGCAATCAAAAATCATTACACTGTTTCACAGTTAATAAAGTTGATTAGTTCACTGCAACATCTAAAATGGTTTGAACTAAGACACTTTAATTATCAACGTTTGTAAAATAGTAATGATAATAAAAAAGAGAGTGTTCTTTTCACTTGAATTTTCAAGAAAGAAAGTCTCAGGATGGGTGAACCTGTATTTCTGGATTCAAATCAATGAAATGACAGTTTCTGTCCCACAAGGTTCTTAAGGTCAAGGGTTTTGACCTTAGGTTAGTTTTGACATCAGGTTAGGTTCACTACAAAAGAAAAACGATGGGAGAAGGAGATAAATGTTATTCCATAACATGGAATAATTCCATGTTATGGAATAACATCCAAGATGTTGGAATGTAATTCCGTAGGAAGGAACCTGTAAATTATGTAAGAATAATTATGTAAGATCACTTTTACATTTTGCCTCTTTGGTTCTGATGGACCGGATTGTTTTCTGAAAGCTCACCTCTGAACAGAACATGGACGCTTTACCTGTGATTTATGAACCGTTTTCACTTGTGTTCACTTAGAACGCGGTCACATTACAGACAGTCTTAGTGTCAGCGACAGCAGTGTTTGATAAAAGTTAGCGCTTTAGCATTAGCTTCCACTAATTTTTTTTTAAAATCTTTTTAGCGTTAGCAAAGCAATTTTTTTTTGTTAGCGAATTAGTAGTTAACAAAGCTAACTTTCTGATTAGCTGTGCTCACTATTGATAAGTAAAAACAAGATAAATTTTATCATTATTACTTCATGCTGTTCTGTTGTCTTGTTTAATTTGACCATATTGGACTTTAATTATTGGACGGGGGAGTGGTGGCGCAGAGGTTAGAGGAGGTGGGCCTGTGATCGGAAGATCACCGGTTCACGCCCCGGTACCAACAACATAAAAAAATGTGGGTGGGGTAGGTGAAGTACCCACACTTGCCCCCACCCTCATTCGCCCCACTCTGGGCCCATGAGCAAGGCCCTTAACCCCCATCTGCTCCCTAAACAGGTCTCTTGAAAATGAGTTCTCGTGGCTCAATGAGACTACCTGTATAAATAAAGGCTAAATGAAAAAAATTGCTTCAGTTGTTTGCATGTTTTGAGGACGAAACAAAAAGTGGTGCACATGATCACATTTTGTCTTTAACTCAAGTTCACTTGACTTTGTTTGGATTTTCAAACACCGCATCAAACAGGAATATTATACGTTGACTGAGGCGTTCGCTCAGTTTCTCCGTTTACATTCGAGATATTTGTTTTTCCCCATTTGCTGCACTCTGACTGTAGACCAGCAGATGGCAGCAAACACCCACATCTCCAAACCTCTGAATGATCCACATCCCTTCCTGTGTGCTCTGCCTCGTGTGCGGAGAACGAAGCTGCTGTCAGACTGAAGGAGAGCGATGCCTGCAGGCTCAGCTGGGAGGCAGCAGCGACGCAGGAAGACGGGCTCAGGAGGCAAATGAGGACACGAGGAGAGGAAGGGAGGGGGGAGAAAAAGATGGATGAGGACGCTGCGTCGATTGCGGCGTCTGCTTGTTTGTCTGAGATAAAAGTCTGTGGGCTGAAACGGTACGTTTGGACAGAAGGACCGATCCATGTTGTTCAGCACTCCTTTTTATTTAATCAGGCAGATCCCGTTCAGATCATCCATTATCTTTACCCGCTTCCTCCTTTTTGGGTCATTGGTGCACAGGTCTCCAGTCCATCACAAGGACACATAGAGACAAACAAGACAAACAACCATTCACTCTCACTCTCACCTAGGGACAATTTAGAGTTGCCAATCAGCCTAACATGCATGATTTTGGTCTGTGGGAGGAAACCTGAGCTCCCGGAGAGAACACTTGCAAAAACGAGAACGTGCAAACTCCACCCAGAAAAAAATCTGGTCCAATCTGGGGATCAAACCCAGGACTTTTCTTGCTGTGAAGCGACAGCGCTGACCACTAAGCCATCATGCTGCAACCCGTCTCCTCTGGACCCGTCGGTAAAATCATGGCAGAGCCCCAACGTTCTGCACTTTCTGCAGCCGTCTTCTCACAGATCACCCACTGAACGATGCACGTTACAAAAGTGTTTTAAGTTTATCATCGTTAGGGCTTTTTGATGACTAAAGCTAAAAAAAATTTTTTTTAAAGGACACTAAGGCAACTGGGGCGGCACCGCTTGTACTTTTTCACGCACCTGCGCTCGACTAATCCTTTATCTGTGCTCGTACGTAAGGACATGAAGTCACAACGTGACGAGTTTGGTAATGGAGGTGTGGTCTGATTTTAAATAGACTTCGATGCATGAGCAAAAAATAGAAGAGGCTTTGAACGCTTTGTTTGTTTCTGTCTCTGCTGCAGAGCTGAGCTGTTTCTGGTTGTTTCACACAAAGCTCTGATTAATTAGACTTCTTACATCTTTATATGATAAAACTAGTGATATAAAGGGGAAAAATATAAAAAGGGGTTGATGATTTTTGGCCAATTCTTCAAAATGCCTAATGGTTATGTATCTAAAACCATCACCACGTATAAATCACACACTACCTGCAAAAAGTGTTAAAATAGAAATTAATTTTGATACTGTTTCCTCCACGTTTCAGCATCATTGTCAGTTTTTACAGGCCCAGTTGTGCGCACCCTAATCTGTCTCTTTGTTTACAGATAATCTGTCAGAAAGTGACAGCAGCAGCTCAGGTGAGCACAAATGTCATTTTTCAGGTTTAACCCTCGTGGCTTGAATCTTTTCTCCTCATCCTTCGACAAATCTCTCACCTGTTGATTTATTGAGCAGAAAACACCGGGACGTCTGCCGAGGACAGCTCTGAGGAAGAGGAGGAGGAGAAGAAGGGGGAGGACGACTCTGGTGAGCAGCAGCTCTGAACTGTTTAATTAAAACTTAAACGTTAAAGGAATGGGTTTTTTTTCCAGATGTGATTGTCTTTGAGCATTGAACTTCACTTCAAATCAGTTAAACCTTTAAAGCCGTGGTTTAGCTCTACTGAAGTGAGGTTGTGCAGAGAAGTTATGAACAGTGAATATGTTACCTGCTGTGGGTGGCTGAATGACGAGAATAACAGTCACTTCAACAGAAAGTATATATATTGGGCCTGGTACTTTAACTCCTTAATTATGATTAATGAAATGTTGCCATCTTTGCAAGAACAAGTATGATAAATGTAGAAACTAGGGCTGAACAATTTTGGAAAATGTTCTAATTGCGATTTTTTTATTTTATTTTTTACATCAATATTGCAGCGTTTCCCCTACCATTATACAAGCGGGGCACCCCGCCCTGTCAACAGACCCGAGCGCCCCGTCTACCGAAACCCACCTTCCCCCCCCAAACCATCAGTCGGCACTGACGTAACGCTAAACTACCAGCTCGCAATGTAGGTGTGCTAGCTAAAAAGCTAAAGGCAGCCTCTTCCCTCATGCTGAACCCTCACGCTGAACACACCCTGCCACTCGAAAACTGTCGGTACAAACAGCGCACGGCTCAAATGTGTGTCTGTCTCCCCCCCCCCCCCCCCCCCC